ATGAATACTCTCCGTGCTGGGGTGCAGGGTGGAGGCGTTTGGTGTGATGTATTCTCTCTGTGCTGGCAGCCACTTTAGTTTCTTCTCGGATGCACTATGTTCCTGCAGCATGGAATTCCTTTGGATATATACTAAGGAAAAGGGTTCCCAGAGCCTCTCTGGGCATTTCTCACTTGTCCACAGGCCTCTGGGAAGCAAAGGGGAGAGATCATCTTCACAGCCAGCACCACTGACTTCTTGAGCATTCACGTCCTGGAAAGTCCACGCACATCTGTAGGGCATCGATACATTTCACTGAGGCACAGCAAGCAGTGGGTGGGTGCTCTGCAGCCCTGCCATCACCCTGGTTGTTCTCCAGCCCATCTGCAGCATCGAAGCAGGTGCTGAGGCTGCTCTGGAGCATTTTGGATGCTACCTGTGAAATGTCTGCTATTGTGGAGACGTACTCTGGGTTTTAGCAACAAGCAAAATGGGGGATATTTTAGGAGCACAGGAAAAAGTCAGGGCTCTGAGCTCTTCTGGTGCCTTTTCCCAGTGCTCCGAGGATGGGGTGTGCCTGTCCTTTCCAGCTCACAGTATGCTCAGCGCAGCAGCTTCCTACTCTGTATCCTCAGTTGTTCAATGCGCTGAGCTTCCACAGCCCCCAGACCTGTCATGCCCCCGTCCCTTGATGACGCTTCCACCTCTCCAGTTGAAGTACATGCCCTGCAGATTCCATCACTTCCCCCAGAGGCGTGTGTCTCATTAACATCACGCTAGAGACCCTGAAGCAGGAAAGGATCTGATTCCCAAAACACTGATTAAACATAAAATTAACGCACGTGGGAAACTTCTGCGGCTCCTACATCAGGGTGATTGCAAAATAAAGGGCTGTTTAGTTTTCACAAGCAGAGCCACTGTCCCACATCTTCCAGGGGAGACTGCCTTTCACTAGGGGCCACATTAAGTCTGCCTTTCACTAGGGACCACTCTCATAACACATATCAAACCCCACCACCTGTTTAGAACCAAAATGATTCCATGGATACATTTCCCAGTCAGCCTAATGAAGACAGTTGCAGGTATACAGACAATGGCAGTGAAAATCAGCAACAAAGACCAGTGGGACTTGCTGGAGGGAATGTGGGAGCAACGTTCAGACAATTGCCACCCTCGCCTGCGTGGGCTGTCACCTAGGCACACACATCAGGAAAGCGCCCAAATCCTCAAGACCACGGAGGATACCTGCAAGACCTGATAGCAAAATAATGAGTCAGTGTGCTTTTGTGAAATGATGCTGCTGAGTTTTATGGGTGAGGTGTTTCTTTCAACTTACCTGTATAGCTCCAGCCATACAGTTTCCCAGCGGCTGCATCACAGAGATCTGCCACTCTTTGAGGCTTTTGTTCTTTGTGTTTTTTTATATACAAATGACCTAATTAGAGTTGAGGTGGCAAAAGTTAGCCTAGTTCACATTCGTCACCAAGAGAGTTTGGATAACAATATGATCTTTTAAAAAAATTATTATGGTTTTTATTATACTTTGTTGTGCAGTTAAGGATTGAAAAGGAAAAAAATAGAAATGATTTAAGAGGCAAGCATAAAATGTACATTTTTATGTGCAAAGCTAGGGTAGCACTGGCTGGTAATTGGACCTTTGTGCTTAAATCATTTTGCAGATATAACACCTGGGTACCAGCTCTTTACTGAGACTAAATGTATCTTAGGACTTCAGAATATTTAATGAGGCGAGGTTCACATTGCTGGCTGGCATATTTTCTTGGCTCTCTTGAAAGTTATTCTTGGAATTTATGGGGTTGATCTCACTGGGAAATAGAAAAAAAAAACTCAAATTGACAGTAACTTTGTATCAAGTCACTTAACAGGGAGAACAATTGGTCACTCTCACTGCAAAAGCCATCTTTAGAGTTGTTTTGTCTTAACACTTCATACCTTTCATTGAACACACATCTTCTGGGGATTGGTCAGGTGGTTTGGCCAAGGTGCTGCTCTGGACATGGTCCTGGCCCGCTTTAAAATCACTGTCAACTCACAATGCATGCCATGTGGGATCTGGTACCTATGACCATATATTTTATTACAACCTGTCATCTTTTCTTCTTCTCTAAACCATAAATTCTTTTTTAAGTTCACAGTGTTAAAAAGAACATAGATGCTTAATAAATGTCCATTGTGCAAATGAATGATGGAATGAGTGATTGAGAGAAAGGATAAAGGACTGCACAATGGCTAGAGCTCTCCTTTTTCAGTGGTGTTCTGTAGGGTTGCTACATTTTTGGAAGGTTAGAGAAAACCTCATTTAGAACTTCTGCCACTGTTTGAAGTTTTAAAAAAAATCTATATATTTTAATCTACAAATAATAATTGTACTTACGATTACATAGTGATGTTTTAATACACATAATGTACAGTGATCAAATGGGGGTAATCAACATATCATAGTCTCAAACATTTGTCTTTTGTGCTCCTTCTAGTCATTTGAAACGATGTAACGTTTTCTTATCTGTAGTCATCCTACTGTGGCTTAGAGCACTAGAACACTTTCCTTCTATCTGTCTGTAATTTTGTATGCTTTTGAAGTTTCATTTCAGAGAGGAAATTGATCAAGCAATCCCATGCCTCCTATCCCAAGTTCCATATCTAGGTCTGTATCCATTACAGCTATGCCTTTAAGTCTGAAACCTGATTTAGCCTGTGGTACTTCTGGAAGTCTCTATCTGCTGCTGAAAACTTTCAGAGCTGGAGTTACAACTACTCATTGACAGCTCTCCTGTTGACAGAACACCTCTTTAACAGTGGCGGAAACAATGGGGAATTGTTACCTTTTATACGAAGTGCAGAGGCAGGTAATTCCATGGTTGGTAAATTCAGCAGCACAACAATGTCACCCAGAGGCTCTCTCTTTTTCCACTCAACCACATTTAGAGGCTGACCGTATCTCGATTTCAAGATGGGTGCAGCTTCTCCAGGCATCACTAATTTTACACAGGCCTATCAGCAAGAGAGGACATTGTCCTCACACATTCACTTTAGCCATGAAATAAAATCTTTCCCACAATACTCCCAGCAGGCTTCCCTTAGATCCCACTGGTGAGCAATAAATCTCATACCTCTCCCTGGAGAATGGTGCTTGGCCTCATCTGGCTCTGCATTGGAGACCAGCTTTTCTTCCCTGGCACACGGGTGAGAGAATGGGCAGCCAGTATCACCTGTCACACTCTGCAGAGTTGATTCTAAGAGGATTGGAGTTTGACTGGTTTTCTTCCTAACTTTGTAAAGGGGAATTTGTGTTTCAAGGTGGAATACTTCCTCTTGTTTGCTGGGGTGCTTATCTGATATTATACTAATAAAATCCAACATAAAAGATGGCTTATGTTCCTCATGCAGAAGGAAAAGCTCCAAGGTGGACTGGTACCAGGAATGTGGGGTCCATGTCCTCAAGCAGAATGCTTAGCAACTTGTCTCCCTGTCTTGATTTTTCCCAGGAAGGCTCGTTTCTCCTGGAATCAGGAAGATTGCCAATAGCTCCCAGCAAACATCTGCTGACTTGGTCACTTCTGGGAGAAAGTTGCTGTCCCCAGGTAGGTTCAGCACAAGTCCTGGGTTGCTCATCACAGGCTGTTTGGCATAACTGGGATCACGTGCCCATCCGGAGCCAATCACTGTAGCCAGCCCTGAACCAGAAGTAGGTATCACCCCCCAGTTGAAGGACTTGGGCAAAGAGTAGGGGAGGGGTTCTAGGTGGGCTGTGGCTACTGATGGGGACAGGAGCTGGAGTGGGTGCTACTCCAGTTACCATAGTCTCACGGGTCCTGGAATGGCGCTGCAGGAGTCCAAGTGGGATTCTCTATCTCTGCAAACTCAGGAGTCACAGTTTGGGTTCATAGTGTTGATTCCAACCCTCATGGATGCCTTTGAGGGGGTTAAGTGGAGGAAATAACTCTAGATATGGTGGAAACAGCAAGACAATTAGAATTAAAAATGGCATCCAAATATGTGACTGCATTGCTGCAACCTCATAATAAATTGAAAAAAAGTCAATCTCCGAAGCAAACTTCATTGTTGTCTTATCTTTAAGAAATGACCTTCACCACCCAACCTTCAGTAATTACCATCATGATCAGTCAGAAGGCAGCACCATGGAAGCAAGGCTCTTCACCAGCAAAAATATTACAACTCATTGAAGTCTTAGATAATCGTGAGCATTTTTTAAAGCAGTAAGATATTTTAAAACTAAGATATGTACATTGCTTTATCAGACGTAATGCTATTGCACTCAATAGACTACGATATAGTGTAAATATGACTTTCATATGAACTAGGAAGCTAAAATGTTTGTGTGACTCACTTTATTGGGCTTTTCACTTTATAGTGGTGGTCTGAAACTGAACCCACAATATTTCTGAGGTATGCCTGTACTGTTTAAAAGTATTGTGAGGGTTATAGTATATGGGAACTCTCTGCACTTTCCATTTTTTTTTTCTGTAAATCTAAAACAGTTCTAAGGGAAAAAGCTCACCGATTTAAAAAATTTTGTAAGTAAAAACTTGAATTTCATTAAAAATATAGAAAAAACATATTTCGATGAACGCTCACCATGATGAATTGTGAATGATGAAGATATAAGCCATTCAATAAAGACTAATGCTGCCAAAGGAGGAGAGATTAGGAAAAATCAAGCAAGGTTGACAGTGTTTTGACAGGTAATACCAGACCAAAGGAAATGCAAGACACGTCATGGATTTGTCATCTGGCAATCTCACGTCACCAGATAACATGGACAGGGCCTTGTTCCTTGAATGATTTATATCTGTGTCCTTGTAACCCAATTTCCAGAGAAAATAAACTATATCTTCTTATGTGACTAGAAACTATTCTATAGAGCATGCCTTGAACTAAAAATTGAAATTGAATGAAAGGCTCACTGGTCCACCATAGAAAGAAAAGTTTGTGCTTCTGTATAGTATGGAGGAATATCAAAACCCTAGTGCAAATTTTAATTTTTTTTTAATTTTTTTTTTTTTTTTTTGAGACGGAGTTTCGCTCTTGTTACCCAGGCTGGAGTGCAATGGCGCGATCTCGGCTCACCGCAACCTCCGCCTCCTGGGTTTAAGCAATTCTCCTGCCTCAGCCTCCCGAGTAGCTGGGACTACAGGCGTGCGCCACCATGCCTAGCTAATTTTTGTATTTTTAGTAGAGACGTGGTTTCACCATGTTGACCAGGATGGTCTCGATCTCTTGACCTCATGATCCACCCACCTCGGCCTCCCAAAGTGCTGGGATTACAAGTGTGAGCCACCGCGCCTGGCCTTTTTTTTAATTTTTAAGAGATGTGTCTTACTTGGCTGGAGTACAGTGGCATGATCATAGCTCACTGCAGCCTCGAACTCCCGGGCACAAGGAATTCTGTTGCTTCAGCCTCCTGAGTATCTGGAATTATAGGTGTGTGCCACCATATGTTGCAAATTATTTAATTTTTTTTTAGAGATGAGGTCTCACCCTCATGCCTAGGCTGGTCTCGAACTCCTGGCCTCAAGGTATCCTCCTGTATTGGCCTCCCAAAGCACTGGATTACAGGCATGAGCCACCACACTTGGCCCAGATTTCTTAAAAAGACAACACATTTCTTTCTGTTATAATCCCAAATCAAGATAAGTTTAAGAGCAGAGTCAAATTCTCATGAGGGTTGTTTCCGTGTTTGGATGTCTGCAACAAATCTTTCCAAAGTGCCTATTTGCATATATTAATTTGCATACATTAATTGATTCAGAAAATATTCTAAGCAATTTCGAGGCAGATAGACACATTGTTGCTTAGTTTGAGATGCATTGCTTTTTGTGCAATTAAACATTTAACAATATGCCAAAAAAAAAAAAAACAGTGTTAGTAAAACTATGATACTGAGACAAGCATAATTACATAACCTAAGCAAATAAAACACAAGCAAATGTAATCTTTTATTATTTGCATTTATTTAGTTTCTGAGGAGATTTAACAGCATTGGATTTTAACCTTTATCTTATTTTGTTAAAATTGCTAAGGTTTTTAAAAATATGTTCTTATCTTTAGTTTTATTATTGCCTTAGAAGATTACTGCCTTTTTTTTTTTGTGATCAAACTAGCCATAATTTTCTGTAAGTTAGGAATCCCCTTCAAACTATGGAGAAGGAGGCAATGGAATGGGACAGTATGGACTTTCTTGGTTGGTTTATTCTGCGTTTGTTCTTGTTCCCCTTCCAGTGGACTTTTTGATTTGCTGCTGAGAACTCTGCCCTGCTTGCCCCACTCTTGCACCCAACTGCCTTTAATTTCTGGCCCGAGTCATTGTTAATTGCATACCTGTGGTAGAGTTGAGCCCAAAGAAAATATTACAAAGCACTGATTTATGACTTTTTCTCTCTCTTATCTTCACAGAAAAATTTTGTCAATGTAAACTTTTCAGATGTTGATTTTAATTACCCCAGTAAGTATTATCTTCTATGTAATTAAGCTCGATCCTATCTTTGGTACCAATTTGACCCATCCTTAGTGAATGCTGAACCTCTCTCATTTCCATTTTTAATGGTAGTGGTGTGTGTCTTAGTCTATTTGGGATACTATAACAGAGTTTCATAAACTGGGTGGCTTATAAGCAACAGAAATACATTTCTCATGGTTCTGGAGGTTGGGAAGTCCAAAGTCAAAGCACAGGCTAAGTCAGCATCTTTATAATTGAGTGTTTACTTCCTGGTCCTTAGTTGGCCATCTTTGTGCAAAAAGATGAAGAGAAGGCCCCAGTGTGTGTGTGTGTCCTTCCATGTTGGAATGAATGAGGGAAACTTCTGTGGTCATTTATACAAGGGCAGAAATGATATTCATGAGGGCTCTGCCCATACAACCCAATCAATTCCCATTTTCTGTCTTTCTTTTGTTTTTCAACTTTTATGTTCTGAGGTACAAGTGCAGGTTTGTTACATATGTATACTTGCATCGTGGGGATTTGTTGTGCAGATTATTTCATCACCCAGGTATTAAGCCTTGTGCCCATTAATTGTTTTCCCTGATCCTATCCCTCCTTTCACCCTCTGCCCTCTTAAAGGCCCTATGTGTGTTGTTCCCCTCTCAGTGTCCATGTATTCTCTTTATTTAGCTCCCACTTGTAAGTGAGAACATGCACTATTTGGTTTTATGTTTCTGTGTTAGTTTGCTATGGATAATGGCCTCTAGCTCCATTGATGTCCCTGCAAAGGACATGATCTTATTCTTTTTTATGACTGCATAGTACTCTATGGTGTATGTGTACCACATTTTTTTCCATCCAGTCTATCATTGATGGACATTTAGGTTTATTCCATGTCTTTGCTATTGTGAATAGTGTTGCAATGGATATATGCATGTATGTGTATTTATAATAGAATAGTTTATATTTCGGTATATACCCAGTAATAAGATTGCTGGATTGAATGGTATTTCTCTCTTTAGGTCTTTGAGGAATTGTCACATTGTCTTCCACAATGGCTGAACTAATTTATACTTCCATCAACAGTTTGTAAGTGTTCCTTTTTCTTTACGACCTTGCCAGTAATTGTTATTTTTTGACTTTTCAATAGTAGCCCTTCTGATTCGTGTGAAATGATGTCTTATTGTGGTTTTGATTTGCATTTCTCTAATGATCAGTGATGTTGAGCTTTTTATTCATATAATTGTTGGTTGCATATATGTCTTCTTTAGAAAAGTATCTCTTCATGTCCTTTGCCCACTCTTTTATGGGATTGTTTCATTTTTTTCTCTTAAAAATGTGTTTAAGTTCCTTACAGATGCTGGATGTTAGATTTTTGTCAGATTGCATAGTTTGCAAAATTTTTCTCCCATTCTGTGACTGTCTGTTTATTCTGTTGGTAGTTTATTTTGCTGATCAGAAGCTCTTTAGTTTAATTAAATCCCCTTTGTCAATTTTTGCTTTTGTGGCAATTCCTTTTGGTGCTTTAGTCATGGAATCCTTGCCCATGCCTATGTCCTGAATGGTACTACAAAGGCCCCCCTTCCTAGTAACATCTAGTGTATTGGTGATTAGGTTTCAACATATAAACTTTTTGGAGAAATAACCATTCAGTCGATAGCAGTAAGGGATTAAGAGAAGCATCTCAAAGGCAGATCTTATGAAGGTTGTGGATGGTTGACGGTGCGCTACGTTTTGGGCTTAGTTTTCTGTGTGACTGCTGAGTCGCATTTCAACAAGTTGTCAGGAAGACATGCAGAAGTCTTTAGTGCTGCGTTCTCTCCCATCCAGGGGCATGAGATAATGGTACCATTTTTAGCAGAGTGACATGTGCTCCTTACATCAATTGCTGGTGGCCCTATGTAATATATCAGGGGTTGGTAAAGGTTTTCTAGAAAGGGCCAGAAAGTAGGTATTTTAAGATTAGCTGGTGAGACAGTGTCTGTTGTAACTAATCAGCTTGGGTGTTGTGGTGTGAAAGGAGACAGTCAACCAGATAAACAAATAGGCATGGCTGTGTTCCAACTTTACTTATCAAAACAGGTAGCATGCTGGATTTGGCCCATGGGCCATAGTTTGCCAACTGCTACTATATATGATTCCCTTTTATTCTAAGAAAGAAAGAAAGAAGAAAGAAAGAAAGAAAAAAAGGAAGGAAGGAAGGGAGGAAGGAAGGAAGAAAGGAAGGAAGGAAGGAATGAAGGAAGGAAGGAAGGAAGGAAAGAAACACAGAAAAGACTGAACCAAAACCAAAGCCACAGTGAAGACAATAACAGTATCAGCTCTATTAGAAGGCGAGGCTGGGAATTATGAAAGTTATAGAAGGCCAAGCTGGATATGAACCTGATTTCATAGTTCCAGAACAGCACTTGGAGCCCTGGGTATGTATCAAGAAGGAACTTGATACATA